TGTAATATTATTTTTCAGCACTAAAAAGAAATGAGCTATCAAGCCATGAAAAGACATAGAGAAAACAAACACATATTACCAAGTAAAACAAGCCAATATAAAAAGCCTATAGAACTATAAGATTCTAACAAAATGATGTTCTGGAAAGGGCAAAACTATGGAGACAGTAAAAAGGTCAGTAGTTGCCATGCATTGGGAGGGGAAGGGATAAAGAGGCAGAAGGCAGAGAATTCTTAAAGCAGTAAAAATACTCTGTACAGAACAATAATGATGAGACCCATGCTGTTGTACATTTGTCACACCCACCAAATATACATTAACAAGCATGAACTTTAATGTAAACTGTGGACTTCCGGTGTCAATATAGGTCCATCAGTTGTAAAAATGTATCCCACCCCTCATGGGGGATATTGATAATGAGGCAGGCTGTTATATATAGGGGTAGGGGCATATAGGAAATCTTTGTACCTTCTGCTCAATCTTTCTGTGAACCAAAAATTGCTCTTATAAAATAAAAACATTTCAAACAATATGTTGTAGAGACAATTAGGAAATTTGGGAAAGTGCTGACAGTTCTCTATTTATTGACATAGTGGTGATTATGTGGGTGTTCATTTTCTATAAAATTCTTTAGTCTATATATTTACTTGATACTCCTTTCTATGTTTGTATTTTACAAAAATTTAAAAAAGCATACATTTTAATGACAGGTCCCTTAATGACAAGAATTTAAAGGCATATTAAATTTAAAAGTAAGTTATACAATAGTGCATACAATACCAAGATTTTTCACCAATTACCTACCAAAATATTAAAAGTTTGGTTATTTTCCAATAAGAACTAGATTACTTAGGGGTATTTGAAGAACATATAGGTATTTCTAAAAGCGAAAATGAAAAACACTAAGTAAAATAATCATTTCTTTCAAATGTTTGTATGAACCATTGATAAAGAACAAACAATTTGCATTGTTACATTCAAGATATATATATATAATCATTATTAGAATATTTTCCCATTAAATCATAATCAACAAATGTATATAATTTTAAATAAACGAAATACTCATTATTAAGTGACTGTTACTTGGAATTTTGCTTTTATGGTTGAATTTCTTTATTAGAAACATCTTTGACACTAGTTACCAATTTCAAAGTGATTTTTTAAGTGGTAGAAAGACATCATGAGGTCTGTTGTGTTGCCCTAGGCCTTTACTATAGTAATGGATCACATTTATGAAGACATCATAACCTTATAAACAACTGTCATAAAAAGCAGAGTCCACTATGTAAAATGATCTACTGTAGCCTCATTACACCTTTATTATAGTAGTGGCATAATATTACAGTTACAAATTGAAAATATGCTGCACATAACTTAGTTTGAGAAGCAAAATTACTTAACAGGCCAACAATATTCCAGTAGACAATCTTGGTCTTTATAAATCACTCAGATGACTTTTAAAGGTTAAAAAGTCAAAAGAAAGTTTGTGATTTGAATTTGCTACTACTTTAACAATGGTTTGGGGGGGCATGACCCAGAAAAATTATCTCAGAAAGGAAGAATACTTCTTTTCTCATTTAGAGAATAATAAGATGACACTTACTTCTGTATAATGACTCTAATTACATCCAGCATGTACAATCAGGTAGTAATATCAAGTGTTCCTGGATTAATATAAAAATGGATTTAAATTAGAAACACAGTACCACAGTGCTCTAACATCAGCAAAAATCATTACTTAAGAGTTTGTGAAAATGACAAGAGCAAATGCCAATCAAATAAACAGACTGTATTTATATAACCCAGGTAATAGTTCAGTGGGGAGGTTTGAAAAAGAAATTATTATTTCAATGCCAAGTCACGCTTACAGCTTTGAACAAGTAGCGAAACATGGGCATGTTTCTCAAATGGATTTCACAGCATCAGTGCAAAAGCCGGAGGGGATGGCTTAGTTTTTTAAGCCTCAGATTTGAAATACCTAGACTCCCTGCAACTACAGCGTTAAATCCTCTGTGGAACCACAGCTTCAAATGCTATCAGGAGAGACTCAACTCTTCATCCTTGTGAGACTGATAAATTGAAAGCCATGAAGTTTAGAGGAAAAGGAGGGGAGCCTGGAGCTGCCCAAAACTAACCCCCCTCAATCTTACACACACACACACACACACACACACACACACACACGCAGGATAGCTATATTTGTAACATTTAAAGTTCCATTTGAGACATTTTCTTTGGTAGTACTGGAGGATGCTGTTTTTAAGACATTCAGAAATCTCACAGCCCTCCCATGCACCAGCTTTATAAACATTTCAATTAAATTTTAGACTGCTCAAATTAGACTAAATACATTATTTTTAACTCCCATTGAATACAGTAAAAAAATTATACATGTTTGCTTTAAAATGCATTTAGGTATCAAATTAATTATTATTTCTGTGGAAATTTCTGTATTTCAAATCAATTTTTTTCTGCTTTGCTTATTTCTGATACCAATTTATGAATACTTGGTGAATGTCAATTAAAGCAACAAAATATTATTTAATTAGTACTCTAACATCATGAGACTCATTCATGAGATTTTGTAAAATAAGAAAAAAAAAACATTATTATTATCTCCATTTTACAGATGAAGAAAGTGTGGCTCAGGAAAATTACTAACTTAATCACAGCTTATGTGTAGTTACTCTGAGTTTTAAAACAAAGGTCTTGAAAATATCCTAAAGTTTTGTTAGTTACAAGTAAGTTCCATTGAAGAATATAGATGTTTTTCCAAACAAAATTGTACAATGCATTTTAGAATGCATTTTAAATAAAACATTTTTATATCTATTTTTTGATTTATCAGCAATACTACATGTCACTGCTGTTACATATAATTAATGATTTTAATGGGTAAAAAATTGGAGTACATGCTCGAAAAACTGTGGATTTTTTTTTTAAGTCAACTACCTAATTGTTAACAGATGTCCCTTTTCATTTGGATTTACCTCAAAATAAAGCAAAAAGATACAGATACCTCAGGGCTGAAATGAAAACCTGAGAGTAGCCAGGTGTCCGTGGCGCATGCCTTTAATTCCAGTAGCTCAGGAGACTGAGGCAGGAGGATTGAAAGTTGAAAGCCAGCCAGCCTCAGCAAAAAGCAACTAAGCAACTTAGTGAGATCCTGTCTCTAAATAAAATACAAAATAGGGCTGGGATGTGCCTCAATGGTCAATTGCCCCTGAGTTCAATCCATGGTACCCCACCCCCCACCAAAAAAGAAGAAAACCTGAGAGAAACATGAGAACACCAAGTTTAAAACCTAAACTATTCTCCAAATGTTAGTTAAAAAAACAAATAATATTCCAGAAGGAACTCAAATAAACTAATTTAATTTGTTTAAGACTTAGATATGGATATAAATCTAAGTTTAGGCAAAATGGACCCAAAGAGTAAGTATTTTAATAGCCACAAAAAAGACACTAAATAAAGTGGATTCCTTTGAGATTGCATATTAATTATTTTAAACACCAATGTCCATGGGAGAGTTGACATACTGAGACATTTTTTTTTCCAGATGTTCTCACTGTAATATAATTTAGCTGTTTTCCTCCAACAAATAGATGAGATAAACTTCTCTAACAGGATTTTGAATTCAAGTAAGGGAAGAGAATTTTGGAGAAGAGTGAACAGAGAGAGTTAAAAGTGTTCCAGCTCCAGACACCTTAAGAAATACTAACAGACCAGAGAATAATGGGCACTGAGACCAATTTTGAATGTATTGTATTTTTCTATTGTTGCTGAAGGTATGTCTCAGTTTCTTATGTTGTATAAACAATTCTCAGCTCAGGTGCTAAGGAAAATTCAGAAGACAATGTTTTCTTTGATTTCTTACACCATTTCACCCATCTTTTACATTTCATCTGGTATTAGCCTATGCTCATTATGCCAGCAAAAATGGCTGCTCCTGCTCCAAAAGCCCATAAATGGAATTTCCTTTAATTACATCTAACTTTTTAATAGCAGTTGCCTGCCTTGGGATAATTCTTCTAGGCTATTTTATGCAGCTTAAGTTATGTATTCAGTTTCCTAGCAATAAGGGCCTTGAAGATTTTGTAAGCCTCACAACTCCCATCTAGTCTGAATAGATTTATAGATGCTCTTTAAAAATGACTTCTGTTCCTTTAGCTACACCGGCAAGCATTCCACAATCCCAAAGGGATTTTGGGTCCATGCTTGTACATCTGTGCAGCAACCTACATATCAGAATGAACAGCCTCTACCATGCTTGTAAAGTCTCCATCCCTCCTTTTGTTCAAACATTTATTTAGTACTTAATGGTGTCAGGTAAAAATATTTTTAACAAAGAATGGAGCTAGACTTCTTGCCTAGAGGCACAGATGCACTTCAGTGGGCTGTGTAGAGGATCAATTTGTATTTCCCCAGATTGTCCTTTTCTTCCAGCTCGGGGATTTGTAAGGAGAGGACGTCCTACAGAAAGCTGTGGTAGGAAGACTGAGCAGGGAAAGTACGGGTAGAAAATATCTAAAATGAATTTGGTCTTAAGAACTCTTCACCCATACTCAATAACCATTTCAGATCCCTGAGGAATTCCAGATTACATTTCAGACGAGGCAAAGTTCAATTTACACTTTTAATTCAGAGGATAAATAAGTACAAAAACAATAAACATTTACCCAAAGTTCCTAAGGACAAGCAAACCAGAGTTGCATGATTTCATACTAATTTTCCAATATGAAGCTCAATCTATACTTAACATCAAGGAAGGCAGCAATTTGTTTGACTAATAAAAGTAAATGTCTCTGCACTGCGCTTAATACGAAGCACCTCAGTCGGAAGGAACCCTGCAGTTCCACTACGACCGACCTCTAACGCGATCCCCGAGAAGGCCGCGTCTCGCGAGAGTTGAGGGACTGCAGCCCGTACCAGAGGGAGAGGGCGTGGCCGTCAGGTGGGCGGGGTCCTGGAGATCACGAGTGCTCGAGCTCCGGATGGGTCTGCGCCGGTCGCTTGGCCCGGGACTTATTTCGCGCTTGTCTGCTTAGCGCGCAACTATGGCGCGGAAGTCGAATTTGTTTGTGTTTCTCGTGCCGCTCCTGCTCGGCCCGACCCTAGTGCGCGGCTTCAACACTCTGCCCCTGGTCCTCAACACTTGGCCTTTTAAGAGTGCAACCGAAGCAGGTGCGAGGCGGTGGCCGGGGGTGGGTGTCTGCACTGCAAGAGGTCGCGGTGGGGTGGGGAGGACCGACTGGCTGGCCCCATTGCAGCTGCAGGGCAGGCAAGCGCCCGATTGGCCAGGCCTTCCTCAGCCTCGGCTTCCAGTCCTTCCTGCTTCGCCCGCTTCGTTGCTCTTTTGCAATTGACCTTTACTCCATCGTCCTCCGAGGCTGTGTTTTTAAGTCCTTGTCATTTAGGATCACTCCTTGTATTGCCCCCCACTCCCACCCCGCACTAATATATATTACACTGTCCTACTGACCTCCAACGTTTCAGGTTTTTCAGCTTTTACTCTTCCAGTGGCACTTACGCTGGTTTTTGCCTGATACCTAGTTTTGCCGGGGTCTACCTCTCCACCTTCCCTTTTTCACCCCCACCTCCATGTATCTTCAGTACCCTGGATTCTTAATTTCTAGACAACCTTTTTTGCCCAAAAGATAGCATATTCTTTTCCCACATAACTTTTTTTTTTTTTTTTTTTTGGTAACACTCTGATATCCTTTCCTTGTCACCTAGATTGGGAGGTTCCAGCTTGACTGTACATTAAAATTATCCAAGGAGCTTCTCAACAATCATTGTGCCTGAGCCCCACCTCCTGGGATTTTGATTTAACTGCTGGAACTAGGTCATCTGCTTTTTAAAAAACACAAAACCTCCCTATGTAATTTTCCTTGGCAGTCAGAGAGGATTGAGAACCACAAAGCTATGGTATCCCCTCTTCCAGGAAGCCTTCCCTAATGCCCTTAAACTTAATCAATCGGAATCAGATTCCCATCTTTTGCTCCGTGATATTATCCTGTATATACCAATCTCCTGGCATTTTCGTATCGTATTATGTTTGTTTCTTTCGTTTCAAGACATACTACTGCAGGAATAATTTCATACCCTTCGTACCCCATCTCATAGATTAACTTTCTGGTGGCAGAATTGGATCCAGAATTTGAAGGAGGTAAACTGCCATGTTATAGGGAGGGCATAGGCATCATAGAAAAAAAGGAATCAGGTTGTGAGAAAGAGATTCATAGCAACAGTGAGACCCAAAGAAGCCCAGCAATCTGGGCAGGGGACAATTCTGTGTAAGTTGCCTTACAGGAAACTTCTCAGAATGTACTTTCAAGCCTGTAGGTCCATTAGTGACATTAATTAAAGTGCTTATTGACAGTACCTGCTGTTCAAGGAATTCTGTTTTTATGGGTAAAGTGTTCAAGGAAGACCTCCCCTACCCCAATGTACAGGGATCCACAGAACAGCACAGTGCTAAAAATATGGCCACCATAGCTGAAGTAACTACTTTTAAAACCAAGCTCTGCTGGGTACCAGCTGAGTGACCTTAAAAAAATTTCTTAAGTCTGTGGTTCAATTTCCTCTTTTTTAAAATGAGGAATTGCACAGTACTACCTCAAAAACTGTTAAGAAGACTAAATGAACTAATTCATATGAAGTCTGTCTTGTAACTGTTTCTTAGAATTTTATCGAGACTGTCCTGGAATGGGTGTTACCTCAAAAAAAAAAAAAAAAAAAGAAAGGTAATAATTATGCATATTTTTGCAGAAGAAATTTGTGAGGTGATGATTTAATAGATTGTCAGTTTAACTTTGGGTAGTTTCAATTGTACCTTTAAAAATAAAGGAGAGGATACTGCTTTTCTTAGAAAAAATAGCTATTAAAAATTGAAAGAAAAAAAAAAACTTCACATTGTAGCAGTAGCCAAATTCTTTGAATTCTTTATAGTGATGTAATTTTTGTCTCTGACTGATTTGTACACTTGATAAACTAATTTGCTAACATTTCAGTTTAACTGAGTGTAAAAACGGGGAAAATTAAAATAGGAAGTCTCAAATTGCATTTGGCATCAGGAAAATATATATATAAAGGAGCATTATTTGGTTTAATTAACAGCATGGCTGGTGTTAGAATCTGGTGGTTCTGCCCTCGATGCCATTGAGAATGGCTGTGCTATGTGTGAGAAAGAGCAGTGTGATGGCTCCGTAGGCTTTGGAGGAAGTCCTGATGAACTTGGGGAAACCACGCTGGATGCCATGATCATGGATGGGTAAGAATGCCTTTCAGAGAGATTGCTTCTCTATGTCTGTGCTTCATGTTAAGCTACATTTAGAATTGTAATTTCTCCTAAGAGCAAGATGGGAGAAGGTGTGAGTTTTGTCACAGGTCAGAACCACTAGCTTATTGTACTTGGCATTTTCAAACACAAGGATTTCCCCTCTTGATTATTTAAAAGTGAATAATTTATCCTAATAATATCAATAATACATGAAAATAGATCTTCTCCTGTAACAGGGAGAATATTTGCCTCTGACCTTATAAACCATCATTCACCTGACATCCACAAATATTGTGGTTTGTCTGACCAGAAGAAACCTTGCAGCCTCTTTCAGAAGCTATGTTTAAGAATTTTAGTTCTGTTGGAATATATGGTAAACTGATTTTCCGTTTTTTCCTTAATTCTGATCTTGTGGAAATCTATGAACTTCATGAATGTGCTTTTTGCTTTTCTGTGCAAGATGATGGAATTTATCCTACAAAACATTATTGCTTAGAGAACAGCAATATTTTTAAATTTATGAATCTATGAAAATATCTTAATATATACTACGTTTTTTTCTTACAGCACTACCATGAATGTAGGAGCAGTAGGAGATCTTAGACGAATTAAAAATGCTATTGGTGTGGCACGGAAAGTACTAGAACATACAACACACACACTTTTGGCAGGAGAGTCAGGTATTTTTTAACTATACTGAAATTCTTTCTAGTCTTGTCTGTAGTCATCCCTGTGAAAAATAGTACTCAGAATCCAAAGAGAAAAGACTTCAGTTCAAATCCCAGCTCTTAATGTCTATTTAACTGGATAGGTAACTTAACTTCTAACACTTACTTTCTTTGTCTTTAAAATAGGATTTAAAAAAATAATAATAATTTATTACCTATAGATGAGTAAATGCTGGACTGAAATAGTGTTCACCATCAGTTTTTTTCCCATATTATTACATTTTTATGGGTGCATCATTAACCTAGAGAGCATTATTAACATAAGAAGATAGGACTAGAAGGAATATGCTATGACAACATCACTTACTTGAACACTTTCCAGACTGTATACTAGAAATTATACAGTGGACTATAATCAAAAATTATTTTTAATGATATGTTTATCTAGTGACTCCATTAGGTTTCCTTCAGTTTGGCTGTAAGTACAAAATCTCAAGGTACCTGACAAATAAAAGAATGGTACTCATTCAGTTGAATACAGTTGTCCCTTTGCTGTCACAAAGCTTTTTACACCCTGATCATGATCATTGCAACTGGTCAGAGCAGTAAGAGTCCATATTAGTGAGAGTGTGCATTTTTTTTTTTTTTTTTTGGTAAGGTGGAGGGAGATGGTGAAGGTGAGGTAGCAAAGGATTCTGCATAACACACAACCCAGGGAACTCAAGCAGATCAGCTTTAAGTAGGACATATGGAAGTTGAAGATGTAGAAATTGATTTCCTTGAAGTTGTTCATGTGTGAAAACTCTTTGAGAAAACTTTGTGTTCCCCTCTGGATGTCTTTGTGTACCGCATATAAGAGGCAGCTGACCTAGGATTCCTCCAGCACATACATTTTGCTCGAAAGATGATACTTTGTTAATTTATACTTTGCTTCCTAATCTCCAGCCACCAAGTTTGCTGAAAGTATGGGGTTTACCAATGAGGATTTATCTACCAATGCTTCTCAAGCTCTTCATTCGGATTGGCTTGCTCAGAATTGCCAGCCAAATAATTGGAGAGTATGTATATGTATTCAATCTCAAAAATAAATTACTTGAAAATATTAAAATTATTTCCTTTCAGTTCTCTCTTGCCTGCCTATTGCTGAGGATGCTTCTTAGCATCCTGGCTACATGTTACAGCTGGAGATTTAAGTTGTCTCTCTGGGCATTGACATGAGAGCTCCTTTAGCAGGCTCTGGTTCACATCCAGGGTGAAGAACTACTGGTCTCTGGCAGTTGTTTGCAGACTAGGAAGATTCTGGGAATTGGAGCTGCCCCCATCAGAGATTTTCTGCTTATATTTCCTTGGATAAAGGCTGAAAAAGTCAAAGTTTGGGAAACATAAGTCTGAAATATTTTCCAGATCTTATCTGTGTGAAGTATATATAAGTATATGTATGAAGTATATATCCAGCATCTTCCCATCACTTCAGTTAAAGATTTTACCATTAGGTGTCTTGTTTGTTACTAATGGGATAATTTGTCTTTAATGGAATTTTTAGCACAAATTAGTATGCCTTTTCCATACAGTTTCCTTCTTTGATTATCTTATGGCCTCATCTTTTTTATTTTTTCCCTAATTGCTGATTACCATGATGTCTCTGGGATTAACCATGGAAAAAGATGGTTGATAAAAGAGAATAGGGAAGATACCTAGTATACTAATGTATAATGTGTACAGGTTGAATATCCCGAACCCAGAAATCTGAAATTCAGAACTCTCTGCCATGGTTCCACAAGTGAAATACTCTACACACCTCATGTATTGCAGTTAAAATGCAGGTGCACTAAAAATATTATATAGCATCACCTTCAGACCACTTGTATACAAAACAAACTTGTATATGATATATAAATTAATTGCTTTAGACTTGAGTCCCATCCCCATGGTATACTTGTAAATATTCCAAAATCCAAGACAATCAAAAATCCAAAATATCTCTGGTTCCAAGAATGTCAGATAAAGGGATAATCAACCTGTAGTAGTTTCTTGTTTTGTTTTATTTATTTGTTTATTTTTATGCCACTAGGGATTGAACCCATCAGGTATTCTATCACTGAGTATATAACTAGCCCTTTGTAAATTTTGAGACAGCCTCACAGAAGCTGGGTTCAAAATTGAGGTCTTCCTAGGTCAGCATCCCACACCACTGGGATTACAGGAGTCTACCTTTAAGATTCAAAAGGATAGCTGGGTTTGCAACTCAGTGGTAGAGCATTTGCCTAGTATGTGTAAGGTATTGGGTTCAATTTTCAGCATTGCATATAAATAAGTAAAATAAAGGTCCATCAACACGTAAAAAAATATATTTTAAAAAAAATTTTAAAAGGAATCCAGAGTACCACACTTTGAGCATATTTCATAAGCCTAGCTTTGGAAAGAAAAAAGTGGATTGCAAACAGTGGTTTTAAATCTCAGAATTCTTATTTATCCAGGAAAAAAATTCTGAAGAGTTCCATTGTGTTGTACCTTATTCCATTGGATTAATATCTAATTAAAAAAAAAAAAACTCTTGTATTGTGCTTAGAATTTTAGCAAATAAAGACAAAATTCAGGGACCTGTTCTATGTGTTTTATATATCTCCCATATTATGTAATTCTGAGACTAGCATGGGAATTTTGTAAACTTATATATTCATCAATTTTCACATAAGACTCAACTAATCTTTATGTTTACATTAACATATATTTCTTACTAGTGTTAAGTGATTGTACATAACTACTTATCAATTTCTAAGATACTCTTTCTTAAAAATAAAACTTAAATCTTATTTACAGAATGTAATACCAGATGCTTCAAAATACTGTGGACCCTACAAACCACCTGGTATCTTAAATAAGGATGATCCTACCTATAAAAAAGCAGAAGATGATTATGGTCATGATACTATTGGTAATTTGTCTTTTATACAGTTTTCATGATTAAAAGTTAATTACCTTCTTCATCCCTGTTCATGTACTAGAAGTTGATTTTGGCAAGTAAGTGCCTCTCTCTCATTTTTTCTCTTTGGTATGTATATAAATAAGAGAGATTTTATGTATACATGAAAGTATTTGTTAAATTGCTTATACAAGACCCCCCAAATCAAATATGACTATTCATGTGTTGATTTTTAATTCTTTGATAGTTAGTTCTTTATGTTGTTTGGTGGTACTAGGGACTGAACCCAGGGATGATATACCACTGAGCTACACCGCTCACATATCCAGGCCTTTTTATTTTTTATTTTAAAAAAGCATCTCACTAACTTCTCTAGGCTGGCCTCCAACTTGCAATCCTCCTCATCCTCTCAAATTACTGGGATTATAGGCATATGCCACTGTGCCTGGCTATCATTTGCTATATTAAAGTGGCCTTAAATAATTTTTTCCAAGTTTTTAGGACCGACTTTTTTCTACTAGTCCATTTTAGTGATTTTATTTGGAATTACCCCTGGGGGGGAAAAAAAAAAAAGGAAAGTAATTCACCAATTTGAAGAGGAAGGATATGGGATGTCTATCAAATGACAGTATGAATCCATGTCATCACAGTGCATAAATTATACTACTGATATAATTTTCACTATCCACAAATTTTCTCTTTACTTCTACGTGAAATTAATGAGAGCATATTTATATTATTTTCCTAGTTCAGGCTGTGAAAACACAGTACAAAGGCTGGTAACTTACAAACAACTGAAATTAATTCTCACAGTTGTGGCTGCTGGAAGTTCAAGGTCTAGGCATGAGTAGATCCTGTGTCTGGTGAGGGCCCATTTCCTAGCTCATGGGTGATATCTTCTTCATGTCCTCATGCAGTAGAAGGAGCTAGCCAGCTCTCTGGGCCTCTTTAATAAAAGTAATAGACTTATTTTTAGGACTATGCCTTTATGACCTAATCACATCCCGGAAGCCTCCCTCCTAAATTCATCACTTTGTGGACATGAATTTTGGGGAGCCAACATTCAGACCAAGAAGTTATCAACTACTCAATAATGTTGTTATATTTGAAGTAAACTTTAGGTACTGACAACTTTTTGTTTACTTCCAGGTATGGTTGTAATCCATAAAACTGGACGTACAGCTGCTGGTACATCTACAAATGGTATAAAATTCAAAATACCTGGGTTAGTGTTTTCATAAGAACAGAACTCTCAAATATATATAATGTAAAGCAGTATGTGCTGGGTGCTATGGAGGATAGTACAACCAAGTAGAGTGCCAGCCTCATGGCTGATCTAGATAAATGTGAAAGAAAACACATTAGATCTGCTAAGTGCCAAAGGAGGAGTCAGAGCCAGTGCTTTAGAGTTTAGGGTGGCTTAAAGTAAGTAGTTAGTAATGCCAATAAGGTGTTGCTAGCTAGGAACTGATCCTTGAGTCACAGAAAGGAAAGGGGATCCTCACAGCAAAGGCACTGGCAGGTAAAAGTAGTGCTCACTTCAGATTCAGGGCTTCTGCTGGCTGAAGAGGTTGTCAGTGCATGGTGGAGAGGCAGGTGGTGGAAGGTAAGACTGCAAAGGAAGACTGGAACCATATTTCAAGGAGTCTTATGTTAGTTTAAGGACTTCTAAATTTTATTTTGAAGTGGTAGAAAAGGATTAAAGATTTATTACAAAGAAAAGCTTTTGTCAAGAGTTTGGCATATTGCATAGGAAGCAAGAATACATGTTAGGTAAAGAAAATCAATTTTGAGCCTCTTAAAATAACTCAGAAATCAAATGATAAAGAATGGTAATTATAGAAAAGTAACTGTAAATCTTTGAATGTCAGCTTGGCATGTAACAAGCTGATTACATTTTTTTTTTCATTTTTTAAATTGACAAGTAAAAAGCATTTATGACATATGTATAATGTTTTCATATATGTATACACACATACACAGACATAGTGATTTAACTTACCTCACAAAATTATTTTTTTGTGGTGATTACAACTTAAAATCTGCTCTGAGCAATTGTCAAATAGACAGTAATAAAGGTGTTGTTATTGTAATAACCATGATATACAATTGACCTCATAAAGTTATTCCTCCTGTCTAATGAAAATCTGTGTCCTTTGACCAACATGTCTCCAGTTCCCTCACTCCCTGGTATCAAGCAACCACCATTTTCATCAGTTCTATAGGTTCAACTTTTTTATACTCCATGTCTGATAATAAATTCTTAATTAATGTAGGTTTGTGAAAACTAAGTTGAAAAACTAACAAAAGTCCTTTCTCTATGTTGTGAAGAATTTACTTAAAACAATAATCAGTAGTTATGTGGAAATATCCTCTATTTTGGAAACAGCTCATAATATAATTTATTTTACACTTGATTTTCTGTCCTAAATTCTTATGCTGTGTGCTCATAAAGTCGCATAGGAGACTCACCAATACCTGGAGCTGGGGCATATGCTGATGATACTGCAGGGGCAGCTGCAGCCACTGGGAATGGTGATATATTGATGCGTTTTCTGCCAAGGTATGACTTCTTACGTTTGTAAATTTTAGAGATCTTTATAGGGGATATGTTCTCTGTCAAGATACAAAATGAGTTTTTGTATTGCATAATCTGATTGTGCACAAGAGCTTTTGAGAAATTTATATACAAACTTTTTGCCTATCATTTAATGATCATTCAAATTAAGTAATCATAGTTCCATGAAATAGAATAGTACCCTACTTCACAGATGAGAATATTTATGATTTATTCAAATGTAAGTCCACTAAGTCAGGGAGCTATGATAATTGATGAAAGTACGAAACATAGTTCCTATGTGCAGTTAATTACTAGAACTTCATGTTGCATACGTGTACATTATTTTTTCCTTTAATAGTAGCACCTTTTCTCTTTTGAATGTAACCTCTATTCTCTGTGATTTCTGGTTATTATTACTAAGCCAGAAACTCAGCCAAAGTCAAAAAATACTAAGCCAGAAAAAAAAAAACTAATTTCTTAGTCTGAAACTAATGGTGGATGACTTTAATAGATGACATTATATCAAGATTTCCTTGCTTCAATGTTGATGCTTTAGTGAGAGTTAGCCACTCCCACTCATTATATGTATTCTATCAAATATGACAGTTTTGTTAGTTTTAAATTTCTAATTAAAGTTACCTGATTTGGAGTTTGCATTTGTTCTGTGATACTGAAGTTCCCTCTGTTTAAATCAGCTACCAAGCTGTAGAATATATGAGTAGAGGAGAAGATCCAACTATAGCTTGCCAAAAAGTGATTTCAAGAATTCAGAAGTATTTTCCAAAATTTTTTGGGGCTGTTATATGTGCCAATGTAACTGGAAGTTATGGTAAGTTGAATTTGAATTTTGATTTATGCAAATTCTTTTAAATACTATATTGTACAATATACTAGTCAGTAGAAAAGGGAACTATGTAGAGTAGGCTCTGAGTAAATGTTAATTGATGGTCTTTCAAGGCCCACAAAATGTTAAAATATACCTAAAACCCTTTTTTGTTGACTACCGGTAGTTATTTATGATCTGTTCTTTGGCTCTTAGTTCTTATCCCTACATGTTGAGATGTACTAATTTAGTCAGATGCTTTTACTAATTAGAAAGAGGTAGAGATAAATTATTTCCCATTCTTCTTTTCTAATTGTTACTTAAATATTTCAGCCATTTAGATCTTTTGGGAGCTCCAAAAGAACAAAATGTATTACTAATTTGTAAACCAAAGAAGTTTGCAGAATTATTTTTGCACTGTGTTTGAGGCATGTCTTTTGCTTCATTTACTTTCCGTATGAGCCTATCACAGTTTCAAAGCATTTTAAGATCAACCACTGCTGATTCTCATTAGTGAATTTTCATATGGGGAAGATATACAGCTTATTGATCAATACGACTTATTAGGTTAGACTGCTTATTATTTTCTTTGATCTTTTACTTCCCACACGTCTGTATTTGAAAAACTTGTTTGAGGAATTCCTTATTCTTTTTTAAGTACTAAAACACAAAAGTTAGTAAGAGTTATGGGGAGGGAAGGTTTTATGTATGAAATAAGTCAGTTTCATTGATTCTCTTAAGAAATAAACTGTAGAAGGCTCAGAGTTGGATTTAATAGGATGGAAAATGCTAATTATATAATTGTAGAATTTAAAATGACTAGTACCTTACATTTGAAGTAATGAGAGTAGAAGGGACATCTCCCCCAAGGGTTTTTAAGCAGAAGATGAACCCAAGACAAAAAGCACCTTGTCAAATAACTCTTCTTTCTGTGAGATTAACAGAGTAGAAAAGAATAAGAAGCAGTGATGTTGCCGGGGGGTGTTAATGGATGGATCATAGGAATGTTCTAGAGGCTAGGGAAATAAAATTTTTGGATGATGTTCCTGAATAATTTCTTGTAAGAAAGGGACATGAAAACATTAAAAAAGAAACAACAGCATGTGTATGGAACAGACAATCGCAGATTTTCTGAAGTTCAAGGGGATTGCTTCCCCACCACCTGTTTTTGGGTTTTTTTTTTTTTTCTTTCTTTCTTTCTTTCTCTTATAACTACTCAGTGCTAAGAAAGGTACTTCTTTGTAGCTTTGTTGTACATATGTATACAATTGCCAGTGTCCAGGCAAATAGAAATATCTGTGTTGGTTATAAATATATGCATCCTATATTTAACCACACATCTTTCTCTTTTTTGACCCAAGGTGCTGCTTGCAATAAACTTCCAACATTTACTCAGTTTAGTTTCATGGTTTATAATTCTCTAAAAAATGAACCAACTGAGGAAAAAGTTGACTGCATCTAATCCATCTTCTCTGTCACTATCTGTATTTAAAGAAGAAAAAAACAAAAGCAAAAGGTTATGATCATCATGTAGTGGTTGTCTGCATTGTAAGGTTTTTGTATAAAGTAAACACAAAAATAAATTTATGCTGAAATGGCACTTTCTACATCTGAAATTTTTGTATTTTCTATTTTTATTTAAGCTTTGTACACGCTGAAAATTAATATCCATATGTGTATGTGTTGTATAGACTTAAATGTAAATGATATTTGAATTTCTAATTGATGTTGCAAGAAATTACTACTTCGGGAATATATTTTCACAGTAATATACTAAATCCAAGTCAGCTATATTTGAGTACTTAAAATCATTAAAGTATACAAGCCTTTTAGGTCTTCCTCAAAGGAAGAGTTACACTAAGACTTGGCAGATTAGTCCTGGTTAAATTTCAGTTTGTTATGTTCAGTATGACATACCTCTGACCACTGATTATTAGTTTTACCTAGTGTTCCTAATAGCTTGAAGCAGGAAGAATGCTATTAATATAGATGCTTTTTATTTTGCACATGTTAGAAAATATGGGCAATCTTCTGGTAAGCAATTATATTGATTTTGTTTGGATTACTCTCTAATGGAGCTCTGAATGTAGGAAAGTTTTGCGCCACAAAAATCTCTGGTCTTTAAGCTACTGATATTCAGTATTGGTCATGTCTTTTACAAATCATTGGGGGCATTTGATTTGTACTGTAATTTTACTAATGTCTTTTGCAGAGGTGGGGATTACAATTAGAAATAAGTCAATAATGTGTTTTCTGGCTTGGTATTATTTTCCTAACTTCTGAACTACATCTGAAAAGCACATGGAAGTTGTGTGTCTGCTTTCTTAGCATCATCTTGTTTTTTTATCCTCCCTCCGTACCAGGGATTGAATCCAGGGCACTTAACCATGAGCCACATCACCAACCCACTCCCCCCTTTTTTTTCTTTTATTTTGGGCGGGGCGGGGGGTTACAGGGGATTGAACTCCAGGGCACTTAACCACTAAGCCACACTCCCAGCCCCCTATTTTGTATTTTATTGAGAGACAGCATCTCACTGAGTTGCTTAGCACCTTGCTTTTGCTGAGGTTGGATTTGAACTTGCCATCCTCCTACCTCAGCCTCCCAAGCAGCTGTAACTATAGGTGTACACCATTGAACCCAGCTTTTAGCATCATCTTTTTCCTTCAGAATCATTCTCTTTAAAATCAGGAGTCTAACACATTCCCCATCATTCCTACCCCCCTACCCCTTTGCCCCCTCCTTTTCTGCTCCCTCCCCTTTGCCCTATCTAAAGTTCTTCCATTCCTTTCCCATGCCCCACCCCCATTGCCATTATGGGTCTGCATGCTCATATCAAAGGAAATATTCCAGCCTTTGGTTTTGGGGGATTGGCTTGCTTCACTTAGCATTGTATTCTCCAACTACATCCCATTTACCTGAAAATGCCATGATTTTATTCTCTTAATGCTGAGTAATGTTCCATTGTGTACGTATACCAAAGTTTTCCTATCCATTCATCTATTGAAGGGGATGGTGGAATGAGAGACATCATTACCCCAAGAACATGTATAAGACACGAATGGTGTGAAAATACTTTGTGTACAACCAGTGTCGTGAAAAATTGTGCTCTATATGTGTAATTTGAAATGAATTGCATTCTTCCATCATGTATAACAAATCAGAATAAATAAATTTTTAAAAAGCCAAAGAGAAAAAGTTAAAAACAGCCTCATCTTATGGCATTTTTATAAAAGGACCCGAATACATATTGCCTCCCTTTCTATTGTAAATAATTTACTCTGAAAAACGATTTTAGGTATCAGGAGTATAAATGTAATATAATAAAAAATAACTTCTACTTTTGACTACTTTTAGGCTTTATATACATGATTTCTAATAACTTGTTTAACTGGGTTTTTATTAAACTGTTAATCATGTTATTTTAAAAACATCTTTGATAAAAAGATATTAAAAAGTTGAAACCCCTAAAAAAATCAGGAGTCATTAACTAATAAAATTATATGTACAGCATTATCCTGAAACTTCAGTATTCCGCACCCATTTTGGTTTTGACTTTGTCATAGTTAAGGGTAGAAAGCTGTAATGTTAGTGAGGCACAGTGGCTTACTAGGGTGAGGCAGGAGGATCAAGAGTTCAAAGTCAGCCTCAGCAACTTGGGCCCTAAGCAACTCAACAAGACCTTATCTCTAAATAAAATACAAAAATGGTCTGGGGATGTGGCTCCATGGTTAAGTGCCTCTGGGTTCAATCTACATACCAAAAAAAAAAAAAAAGTAAGCTGTAATTTTGAGAGTGGCACAGATCACTTGTTCTCAGGCTTTGCTATGTATCATGGCTGGCTGAGGAGCCTTTTTAAAAAACATCCTCTGCTGTATCCCACTAAATCAGATTCTCCACAAATGAGGACTCAAAGTCTAGATTTAGCAACTGCTTATGGTACTCTGAAAGCTAATAAAGAGACAGTTCTGCAGCTTCACACTCACAAAGCAGAAGAGGAAACCTCAACTTTCGAGGGTTCCCAGGAAGGATGCCAACTTGCTTAAATCTGATGCAAGGCCTTGGAAAAGGGACAAGAAGCCAGACTTAAACTTGCAGTATATTTATTTTAAGATGATACTCCTGTTTTGCATATTACCATTAATAAGTTAGGCAGTCTTTTACCACCAGAAAAAGGAGAGTGAAGCTTAAAGTATTCATGGTCTGTCATTCCTCAGCAAATTGGGAGTTCAGCTGACAAAAATCAATGTACATATGTTTCTAAAGGGTGTTTTCTGTTTAACTCTCACTCTTCCTGATGAAAATAACGTCTCCATATATCTAAAGGAGAAAGAGAAATGGAATTAGCTTTGGAAATGCATTTTTAAAGCGCTGTTTGAATAAGATAGTATTTAAATACTGCATATGTGTTATCCTTTCTTTTGGAAAGATAAAATTATTTTATCCCTGGTGAAGATGCATACAAAGGAAACTCACATCTTTGATGGTGTTTTGATACCGATGTTCCGTGGGTTTATAGGAAAGACATGTAGGAAACAGGGAGATGGCACAGTCAGCAAAGGATTTGTGAGCCAGTCATAGATGGAACTCAACTGTCTGCCTAAGACTTGGGAAAAGCAAGAGAAATAACTTGGGAAGGGAATCCTAGAAAATTTAATCATGGTCTTAACTTTTACTGGCAGACAGTAATTGGTTTTCTCCACATATCCTGGCCATGGCATTATTATAGATTCAGGGCTATTATATAGCATAGGGTCAAGGTAAGAAGTTCAGTTCAGAGATTTTGTCACCTTGTGCTGCTTTTTTTTTCCTTTGACCCTATCAAAAATGTTCATTTGCCCACTACTGCATATGTGTTATCCTAGGGGAAGTGACCTTGTCCTAAGCACACAGGGATTAAGCAACTTTCCTAATTGACTATGAAAACATTAATATTGTGACTTAGATTCTTCTTTTTAACTATTTCATTCTGTTTCTTTAAGAGAAAATATTTTTGTACTCACACCTTTTATTTTACTTAACCAATGCAGGAGTTGGTGGGCTTAAATTTGAGCATTATCTTAGCCCATTTTAACAGCAACCCTTAGAAAAAGGAAATGATTTTGGTATCAGCAATATCAAAATGTCTTGATTATTATACCAGAGGCTGCACTTCACTGGAGTGGTTTTTATTTTTAGCACAATAGACAAAAAGGAAAATGTTACCCACAGTATGTAATAAAGATTTTGCTAATTTTGTGCTCATCATTATTCACTTTGATTAATCTCTGGAACAAATTTTTTAAATTATTTCACTTACTTTGCTTAAATGTGGCAAAAATGACTTCTTTTGTGTTCTCAGTTCTACTAGGTACAGTATATACTGGAAGTCTTGAATTATATTCAACAAACATTCCCAGATCTGCCTACCTGGCATATTGTAGGTTTTGGTTGCCTTGGTCCCCTTGTGATTTGGTGCAATCATGTAACTTTCTGATAATGAGTGGTAAGCAAAAATGGACTGTGAGACCTTCCCAAGCTTACTTTTGTTTTTTTCCAAGCATAACAACATGATGGTTGTTGCCCCTATCAACCTGTACCCTTGAGTGACTATAATGAGCATACCCCATGACAGTACAATTCATATGTATTGTGGTCCAATATAGGCTCTTGATATATAAAATACACATGAATAGGTAAAAAGTTTCGTGTAAGTTATTAAATTAAAAGTAAAACTATGGAGACACAAAAATCTGTGGCTGCAAGAGGCTCCTGGAAAAGGAGAAATGAATAGACAAAGAACTGACTACTTTTAGGGCAGTGAAACTATTCTTTGATCTTGCAATGGTATCAGCATATTAGAATGAACAAAACGAGAAAGGAAATGGGTGCTGGTCAGTATACATCCATCCAAACCTATAGGATATACAACACTGAGAGTGAACTATAATGTAAACTATGGATTATGGGTAATAATGATGCGCCAATGTAGGTACATTAGTTGTAACAAATGTGCTACTCTGGTATGGTACAGTGATGGTAGGGGGACTGTGAACTTGAGTGAGAGGGTGTAGAGGAAATCTCTACCTTCCTCAGATTTTGTTGTGAAGATAAAACTGCTCCTAAAAAATAATGTAGTACTAGCTGGGCACAGTAGCATATGCCTGTAATCTCAGTGACTCAGGAGGCTAAGGCAGGATCGCAAGTTCAAAGCCAGCCTCAGCAAAAGCAAGGCATTAAGCAACTCAATGATACCCTGTCTCTAAACAAAATACAAAATAGGGCTGCAGATATGGCTCAGTGGTCAAGTGCTTCCGAGTTCAATTCCCGGTACCCAAAAAATAATAATATAGTACAACCAGGCACGATGGTGCACACCTGTAATCTCATCAGCTCTGGAGGCTGAGGCAGGAGGAACACAAGTTCAAAGCCATTCCCAGCAACTTAGGGAGACCCAGTCTCAAGAAATAAAAACAGATTGGGGATATGGCTCAGCACATACTATATAGTATATACATTATTTTTTTATGATGGGGGAGGGAAATTCAAGTATTAAAGATCTTTAATCTGAGTGTGTGAGTGTGTGCTAGAGTATTATAACAGAAGCCATCATTGATTTAGCACTGGAAACTGAGCACTTCTACATGTTCTTTCTTATTTAGTTCCACCACAACCCAATGAGGAAGGTAATACTAATATCCTTGGTTTAGGTATTTTATGCATAGTAGTTACATTCACTTCGGACATGCAATACTGGCTTTTGTTCAGGGCTACCTACATATATAGTTTGTTGTTGTTAAGAAAGCATTGTAGACCTGCAGGAAGTCAAAGATAAGAATGAAAATAGTTGTTTTATAAGTTCAAAACCTAAGGAATATTTTAACCAACACCAAGAAATATAATCTTTTGAGATTTTTTTGTAAATAGTTCACACAAGGAATTTTGAATTAATTGTAAAATTTCCAAAAGGTCTCTTACCAGAAATTCCATATAAAACACCTAAATGTTAACTGCATGTATTTGAACAAAATATTCAAATATTAACTATATAATTCAAATTTTAACAGGTTACACTTGAAATACTACATACCAAATAATAGATATATCAAACAATTGGCATTTCCTCCTTCAAAGTATTCTTAATAGAGCTTTATTCTTATACTGACTTGAAATTGTTAGAAATATAAATGTATCTATATACATGGAAACAAAAACATATCTTTTCACTCTATGAAGTGATTTGGTTTGGGAAGGTAAATAATA